GTTGCTACTTCTGAGCTGCGTGACCTTGAGCAACTCATTTAATTTCTTCAGGCCTAAATTTCCTTATCTGGAAAAGAAGTCACTTAGACTAGCTAGAGAAAGAAGAGCACAGGTTTTCCAGAAAGAACACCAGCTCCACTACTTTAGTGGTCTCGTGATGTTACATTAGTTGAGTCACACTTAAGCCTGAATTTCTTCCTTTGCAAAATGGAAATAACTGTCTTGTGAGTTGTTATAAGAATTAAAGGAGATAATGAGTTATAAAAAGCCTATAGTAAATATACTGTGCAGCTTATCCTAAAATTCAACAGATGGTAATTCATTACCACCATTAACCCCACCAGCTCTAACATTACATGAGTTCAATTCACACATATTTCTTTAAAAGATCAACAAATCAAAACTACCAACCTGACCAAAAAATTAACTGTTTTTGTGTTTCACAATTCAATTACAGTTATCTTTTTTTTTTTTTTTTTTTTTGAGACAGAGTTTCGCTCTTGTTACCCAGGCTGGAGTGCAATGACGCAATCTCGGCTCACAGCAACCTCCGCCTCCTGGGTTCAGGCAATTCTCCTGCCTCAGCCTCCTCAGTAGCTGGGATTACAGGCACGCGCCACCATGCCCAGCTAATTTTTTGTAGTTTTAGTAGAGACGGGGTTTCACCATGTTGACCAGGATGGTCTCGATCTCTTGACCTCATGATCCACCCGCCTCGGCCTCCCAAAGTGCTGGAATTATAGGCGTGAGCCACCGCGCCCGGCCCAATTACAGTTATCTTAAACTGATGGGAGTTTATCATTATTACTTATCACCGAAAACAAGAACAGAATAGTCCCTGCACAACATCTAAACTCTGGTTCAATGGCCATGCCTTTTCTGACTTCTCACCCTACTTCCACACTGCCAGAATATCTCAAGAATAGAGAGGTCTTCCAAAAGCTAAATGACACCCAGCTGTTTACCACAGTCAGCTAAGGGGAGCAGGACTAGAGACAGAGGAAGAAAAACAGAGGCTTTTTATTTTTTTTTTTAAACTTTTTTACTTTACGAGCTTAAGTACTGCTCAAACTTGTTTACCATAAGCATACAGGAGTTTTACATAAAAGTAAAGAGTTTTTTAAAACCATGTTAGTTAAACATATTGCCTACTGACAGGAAGCTCGCATTACAGGACATTTTCATCACAACCAAGAGAATTTCTGCAGAAGAAAGCCAAAAGGCAAATTCAGATGTTCCAAGAACACCTAAAATATGGCACAGAAATGACAAAAATCACAAACATTCACACTTCAGAATAGTTCAGTCGAAAAAGATGCCATGCATTCTTTGAAGAACCTGAGGATGAATCAGTTCTTTTTGTTCAAAGGCAAAATGAATGTATACACTCTGCTTTTACCAAACAACTTCCTGCTCTTACTTGGAGAAATTGACCCAGTACAATTTACAAGAGTAAACAAGTTGGTATGACTGCTGGTATGAAATACTTTCCATTTCTTTTAAACAATTAGAAGTTGACCAAAATGGTTATTACATGTATATATAAGTAACATTCTTCCTGTTACATCTATAGTGGTCTTTTTAAAAAGAGGAATATTAACTTCTAATAGATTCAGGATTACTCAAAACTACCACTTTCCATTTCTTTTAAACAATTAGAAGTTGACCAAAATAGTTATTACATGTATATATAAATAACATTCTTCCTGTTACATCTATAGTGGTCTTTTTAAAAAGAGGAATATTAACTTCTAATAGATTCGGGATTACTCAAAACTATTATCCCAGCCACCCTAAAGGAATAAACCTTCATGTTATATGCTGCTTCTAGCCAGTGCTACAGAAGTAACCCTGACTGCACTCATTAACTGAAATGAATGGTAAGATGGCATGGCATACTCTCTGTTTGTACCACTTTTCTTCTAGAAACATTTCAAAATATTACTTAGAAATCCAATTACATCTGCTTACATCTACATGTACATTCACCTAAGGTTAATGAAAATAAAACCTAAAAAGTTGCTTATAATTTTTTAAGTAGTTCCTCTCCCTCTCTTGGGTAACTATTGTTGATAAACTTGGCCCAAAATCTTCTGCACATTTGAAACAATAGGTAAAGGTCCTTATTTCTCGTATGGGGCCTGTATTTGGATCTCAGGGTCTCTGACAGACAATTATAGAACTAATCTGCATTCAATATTAATGCCAAGCCTATTGCTTAAACGGAAAAAACATGCATCTATAAGATCTGGGCTACTTACTTGTAGGTCCCTCTGCACTATTCTTAGCCTTTCATGAATATGCTGTAGATTTTTTAATTACACAAGGCCCTTTGCAAGTAAAAATGACTTTTCCTGTTGTTTTGGCATCACTCTTCTTCCAGTGAAAACTGGACAGTCTATAAATATATACCAACTTTAAGACAATGTATTTTAATATCTATGGTATTAGAAAAGGAAACTTGTTAACAAATGCAATAATCAAGTTTACCAGCTGATACAAAGGTACTTACTCTCAAAAACTACAGCCTTACCTAAAAATAGTGTCCTAGCTTCCCAGCCAAAAAGGACAGACTAAAAAAGCTATGTCTTTATTCAGCTCAGAGACACAGACTTCTACCTCACCACAACCTTCAATACTATGGCATTTCCCATTTTAGAATACTTTGTGTAACAAGTTGTTTGGTGTCCAACCACTAACTTTACTTTGAAATGAATACTAACACTTCACATAGTCTACGTGTGTGAGAACTGTGGAAAATGTCTTGACACAATTCAGGTCAAACATTAGCCACAAAAAAAAAAAAAAAAAAAAAAAAATTAGCCACACAAGATTACCTACTTCTAAATAGTCCATTCTAGACTACAAATGAACATCTCCATAGGCAAACAGCAGACCAACAGCTCCTTTCCACAGTTATCTGTAGGTTTCAAAAAAAAAAAGGTAAAAAGTTCAAATTGAGAGGTCTAAGGCAGGAATATGCCTGCATCTGCAAAATGAAAATAAGTTTAAAAATCCATATTTGCTCTGCCAAAAATAAAAATTATATGAAGTAAACATAAGCACTGCTGAGTTTCAAATACAAGAAAATGTGGTATGTGCACTTACAAAAGAATCTATATCCATCTTCCTTTTCTTATTTTTTTTAAGACAAAATGTCAATTATATGCCTCAATCTAGAAAAAAAAAAAAAGCACAGTTTATTCTTCTTAAACAGATGTTGTGACAGACATGAAAAATTTGGGAGAGGATTTCAAAATCCAGAAGCCCAGATGTGTGGCGGAAAAAAAATACAGTAACTAATCAACTGACCACAATTACATTTAAGGAAAAAAAAAAAAAAACTGAGTAAAATATTTTAGGTTGAGAAAACTGCTTGTGAAAAATGTAAAAGTAGCAAACTTCTCTTCCTCTCTCTAGCAGAGAAAACCATTCACTAACACTGTATCAATAATATCCTTTAAATCCAAAGCATTACAAATTAGATTAAATAAAGCACTTTGAATTCACACACCAGGTGTGATCAGAACATAATGATAAACTAGTCTTATCCCTAATAAGCTAAACAGATCTCAACACCATCATCTTTATTTCAAAATAATTATTAAAGAAACAAGCACTACTCCATTTTTCAGAAAATAAAAGCTGGAGTAATTGACCCGCCTAATTCTTTCCAATGGAAAGGGTGTACTTTACAAGAGTCCCACAAATCATGGATACACAAAATCCATATAAACAATCACCAGGACTAAATGTACAGAAGGTGACAGACAACCAAAACACAAATAAAATTAAGGCATCCAATTAAAGTTATGCAAGAAAATTTGAATAGGAAAACTATAATTACCTCTGGTGAAGATACTGATCAAGAATAGCTGCAAATAACATTTGGCTCTTAGTAAGTGCCACTGTTTGAGTATGTTAGAGCAACCGAAGAGATTGGTACACTCAACATATTTTTTTCTTTCTAAATCTAGCCCTGCTCACAGACCCATTTGACTGAGTGATATATTTGGAAAACAAAGATGGCCCCACCAAATTACTCAGTTTCAGCCTTACTCCTGCGGATTGATTAAAATAAAGAAGGAAAAAAAGGAAATAATTTTTAACTGCAGTCTCACCTTACACATCTCACCAGCACTGTAGTTCATTAGTGATCAATTACTTCATCCAATTCCTGAGGCAAATAGAAAGATGTGTCTATACAACACCAGTAACAGACATTATCAGTAGCAAACATTTTATCAGCCTTAAGTGAAAGGGCATCTAAATTTGAAATGGAAAAAGTTACAAAAATGGTACAGTGTGTAGCTTTGCGAGTGAGTGTTTTTTTGACCTTAAAACATTTCCTTTCAGTAAGATAAAAGAATAGATTATACCATACTCTTAAAACTAAAAAAACATAATAGAGTTATCTTTTCAACCCGGGCTGACCTTACTTTCAAAATCAGAAAGAAATGAAGGAGAGGAAATTTTATTAATATGCGTTTAAGAAAGAGCAAAATTAAGAACCAACTAGGCAAGACAGACAACTCCTCCTTCCTTCCCCCGCTCCAGGAATCCACTGTCTCTGAAGTTACACTTTATTATATTAATGATTTGCCTGAAAAGTGTAAGTTGTGAGGGAGAAGGAATGACAATTTTTGAACTGCAAACAAAACCTGAGGATCCTGATCCAAGAAGAATCACAGGAGGCTGACTTCCTGCCCTGTCTGAAGGATTCTCAGCAAAGGCTAGGGTGCAGAAGGCTCCAATAATTTGGGGGAGAGGAATCAAAGTTCCCTAGGTAAGACTGCAGTCTCTGAGCCCTTGAAAAGGGTACTGGAGTACTCTCAAGGAATCTCCAGGAAAAGAGAGCCTATCTTTATTTTTGTTGATGTGCTTGTGGGCCAAAGAGCATTTCCAAGGAGGGGGCGGGGAAAGGGGGGAAGAAAGTGAATCTCGGGCCGAAAGCCCTCCGCGGGGGAGGGAGGGAGCGCACCCCTGACCCACTTTTCCCGATGACCCCAGCTCTGGCCCCCGCCCCACCCGGCAGAAGTCCGAGCCCTGAGGGGGGCATCGAGCGGGGCGTGGGAGGCCCGCACGCTCCCCACCCCCAGCCGCGACCCAGAGGAGGGGAACGTGCAGGGAGGCTCGAGTCCCCCTCCCAGAGTGCCCCGGGCCGGAGAAACCTCCTGCAGGCTCCCGGGGCCGGCGTGCAAGGCCCCCTCCCCGGCCAGGGCCCAGGGCGCCGCGGCCCCCAGCGGAGGGGACGGGGACTGAGTAGGGGAAGAAGCTGTAAACAGCCCCAGCGTCCGGGCCTCGCCTCGAAGAGCCCCGCTTCCCAGGCCCCGCCGCGGGCCGCCCCGGCCCACAGCCCGCCCCGGGGCCGCCGCGCCCCGGGACCGGGACACCGGAGGGTAGTCGGGTCCCCTCCCCGGAGGGCTCCGGGAGCTCGCGGAGCGGCCCCAGGAGCAGAGAAGGGGGAAGTCAGGACTTACCTGTCATTACTTTCTACGCCATCTTGGATCCACTTGTCAACGTCCCCACAAAGCATTATGGGTAAGAAAGAGCCTTTAAAGTGACTCCCCCCGGCCCCCGACTCCCGCCTCCCGCCGCCGGCGCCGCCCCCTCCGGCCGCGCCTCCCGCCCGGAAAGTTGCCCCGGGTGGCCCGCCGGCCCCGGCGCCCGCACCCCGGCCCCCACCCCTCCCCCGGGCGGCCGGCATTGAAAATTCACCCGCATTTTTGAAACGTGGCTTTGGGGTTTTCTCTCTTTCTCCTGCCCCGGCCTCCCTGCCCCCACGCCCGGTCTTCTTGACCCGCCGCGCTCCTGCCCGGGCAGACGCCCCGCGTCTGCATTGAATCAGCCCACGGTTTCCCTGCCGCTGGCGGCGCGGAGCTGCTCACGGATTTATTTGTGCGGGTGGATGTGAGCGTTTCTGCTCCTGCGGCCCCGCTTCCAGGAAGCCCGCGGGCAGCCGGGGCGCCTTCAGGGCCCCGCAGACCAGCACCGCACCCGCCGGCCGGAGAGGTGCCTCTGGCCCTGGGAAAGCGCCCCGGGGCCGTCGGGCTCCGGGAACTGGGAGGACGCCGTGTCCCCGAGTCCACCAGCGTCGAAGCACGATTAAAAAAAAAAAAAAAAAAGAATGAGCCAAATGCAACTTTTTACCCCTGGTTTACTCAGCCTCCCGCGGTCTCCTCCTCCCGGCGGGTTACGTGATCCGCGACCCTCTAGATGGAGACCCCTCCCCTAGGAATGTGGCTCCGGGCTCCGCGGATCCCGCCTCGGAGCGTCCGGGCTGCGGACTGTGACTCCGGGGCAGGTAATCAGGGGCGCGGGCCCGGGGCGGGGCGCGGAGGCCGCCTGGGCTCGGGGGAGGGTCCCGGGCGGAGAGCAGGGTGCGCCTGTCCGGATCCACCTGGCGGGTCCCAGTCCGGCGGCAAACTCAGGCGACGGGGCCGGGGGAGAACCCTGGGCGCCGCTCCAGCTAGGGAGGCGGGAGGTGGGGACGCCCGGCGTCTCCGGGCTGCGACCCGCTGCGTTGGAAAGTGCGGGGCTCCTCGGCGCGGGCTGGGGTCTCTGACCCGGGCGAGCACCCCCAGCCTGCCTTCCCCCTGCTGCCGGGCATCCTCTCCCCTCGACACCGCGCCGGCTTTCGGCTGCGCAGGGCGAGCAGAGAGAGCACTGGCCCCGGGCCCTGAGCCGGTAGCCCCCTGTCCCCTGGAGCCCCGGCGTCCAGCCGCCCAGGTCCCCCTTGCGACGGAGATCCGTTGTCACCCTCCGCCCGCGTTCTTCTCAGAACCTCAGGTCCCTGCTTTGCTGTCTTTGGAGGCCTGCTTCAGTTGCTTTTTTTTTTCCCCAAGCAAGTTTTTACAACAAGGAGGTGTCCAAAAGAAAATCCTCCAAGACAGGAATGCTTGCTAATTGTATTCGGTGCAAAATGCTGTTGAACGGCTCTGCATTTAAAAGAAGAACGCACTAAAACCCCCTTTCGGTGCACGGGGAGGGCCTCGACCTTGGGTCTACCCGAGTGTTTTAGGCTCCTCCAGACCCTATCAGCAGCCTCAGGAGGAACCTGGACAGTGGCAGACAGGAGCCCTGCCCCCGGGGAGCCAAAAACTCCACCAGGCAATTGTCCCGGTGTGATGAGAAGAGTGAGGTGTAGACACATTGAGGGATTGGCCCCGGGTCACTCGCGAGGGAGGGAACGAAGTAATGAGTCATTCCCAGCCAAGAACGCTGCGTGCTGGGGAGCAACCTCCCCTGAGTCACCCGCCTCTCAGCTCAGAATGAGTGGAGAAACTGGAGCCTGGAGCCAGGTTCTTAGACTAATCAAAAGTCACAGGGCTAGGATAGGGGGAGGCAGTGCCCCTCCTGCTGGAGAAATGGAATGCTTGGCCCATCTAAAGAAGGCTCCAACTTCTCTTTCCAGGGGGCACCCCGGGTGCTTCTTTTCCAATTCCTCCTTTGTACTTATTTAGCCACTGGTATGCACTGACTCAGTGGTTGTTCAGTTTGCATGGCACCTTTCTGTGTATAGTCTGAGGTTACTATTCGGTTAATGCAAAAGTAATGGCAAAAGCCACAATGACTTTTGCACCAACCTACTATAAGTAAACAGGAAATAAGCTGAGGACAAGGACTGTGCCTCCCAAACACGTTTCTTTGATAGGCAGCTTTTCTTGGCCTTGCATAGGCATCGATCCAAGTAAGTGTTCAGTTTGTGTGGCTGCCTCCAGTGTGCGCATCCAAGCCCAGCCTTGTCAAATACACCCCCTGTTGCCTGAGCTGGGATGGCCCGCCAGCTCGTCTCCCAGCCCCCCCTCTGTACCTACAGTGCATCCTCCACCTGACCAGCCCTGCGACTTTTGCTTAATGTAAATCAGATCAAGACTCCTCTGCTGAAACCTACCAAAGCCTTCTCCATCACACTTGAAATAAAAAACCCAAATTCTCAGGCCAGGCGCCGTGGCTCACGCCTGTAATCCCAGCACTTTGGGAGGCTGAGGCAGGCAGATCACGAGGTCAGTAGAGAGCAGCCTGGCCAATATGGCGAAACCCTGTCTCTACTAAAAACGCAGAAATTAGCCTGGCATTGTGGCCATGCCTGTAGTCCCAGCTACTTGGGAGACTGAGGCAGGAGAATTGCTTGAAGGTGAAGGTTACAGTGAGCCAAGATCACGCCACTGCACTCCAGCCTGGGCGACAGAGCAAGACTATGTCTCAAAAAAAACCCAAATTCTCAACCACGGCCTGCAAACTCCTGTGTGAGGTTGTCCCACCTTCATCATATTTAGATCTCTTCGAAGAGGGCTTTGTGATCCCCTCGCTGGAGCAAGTCGCTCTGAACACCTGACCTGTGTTAGAAGTTCTCTTGTTTATCTGTTAGTTGTTTCTCATGTGCCCCGCCCCTGTTAGAGCATAGGCTCCATCAGGGCACAGGCCCTGTCTGGCTTATTTGCCTCAGTGACTAGACCAGGGCCTGGCACCTACATAGACACTCAGCAAGTTGTTAGTCGAGTACATGACCAAACTTCTCTCAGGGATGGGCATGTTGATGAAAGGGAGTGCTAGAGCATGCAGCAAGATGCTGAGGGCCTTGCCTTAGGTCTCTTCAGTCCACTCTGACCACATGCAGCTAGAGGCAGGCAGACAGGAACAGTGGTGTGGGGAAAACAGGTCCCTTGGCCACCATTGACTTGGCTCAATGCTGATTCTGATCTGATGAACACACACAGCCCCAACTAATCCCTCTGCATCACATCCCTCTTCCTTCCTTCATTTTCTTATTTCTCCTCTACTTCCCACTAACCATGGCTGCTTTTTTTTAAGACGGAGTCTTGCTCTGTTGCCCAAGCCGGACTGCAGTGGCGTGATCTCAGCTTACTGCAGCCTCCACCTCCTGAGTTCAAGCAATTCTCCTGTCTCAGCCTCCTGAGTAGCTGGGATTACGGGCACCCGCCACCACACCCAGCTAATTTTTTGTAATTTTAGTAGAGCCGGGGTTTCACCATCTTGGCCAGGCTGGTCTCGAACTCCTGACTTCATGATCCACCCACCTCAGCCTCCCAAAGTGCTGGGATTACAGGTATGGGCTGCCATACTTGGCCTTTTTTTTTTTTGAGACTGTGTCTTGCTCTGTCGCCGAGGCTGGAGTGCAGCAGCCCAATCTTGGCTTACTGCAACCTCCACTTCCTGGGTTCAAGAGGTTCTCCTGTCTCAGCCTACCAAGTAGCTGGCACCACCATGCCCAGGTAATTTTTGTATTTTTAGTAGAGACAGGATTTCCCCATGTTGACCAGGCTGATCTCAAACTCCTGGCCTCAAGTGATCTACCCACCTCAGCCTCCCAAAGTGCTGGGATAACAGGCATAAGCCACTGCCCCCAGCCACAATGCCTTCATTTTCTGCTGCTTGGAGAGTCGCAAAGCTCAATTCTTGGGTCTTTCTTCTTTTTCACCTATACTCCCTGATCATTTGTTTCAGTCTCAAGGTTTCAAATACCATGTTTACCCTGAGGAAGGAGTCCCCGACCTGGAGCTGAAATCCAGAGCCTTGCCCTGAGCTTCAGACTCTTATCAACATCTTGGCATCTCCACTTGGACATCTTTTAGACATCTCAAAGTCAGCATGTGAAGAACTGAATTCTTTTTTTTTTGAGAGGAAGTCTTTCTCTGTCACCCAGGCTGGAGTGTAGTGGCACGATCTCGACTCACTGCACCCTCTCCCTCCTAGGTTCAAGCGATTCCCCTGCCTCAGCCCCCTGAGTAGCTGGGACTACAGGCGCCTGCCAACACACCCGGCTAATTTTCATATTTTTAGTAGAGACGGGTTTCACCATGTTGATCAGGCTGGTCTTGAACTCCTGACCTCGTGATCTGCCTGCCTTGGCCTCCCAAAGTGCTGGGATTACAGGCATAAGCCACTTCACCCAGACCAAGAACTGAATTCTTGAGCTCCCCACACAAATAATGCTCCATCATGGTCTTCCCCAGCTCCATCACTGGCGACCACATCCTTAAAATTGGCCAGGTTACAACCCCTCCTCTCTCAAATTCCACCATCAATCCATCTGCAAATCCTTCTGAAATATATCCAGATCTGATCGCTTCTTACCACCTCCATCGTTTCCACTCTGGTCCACTCCACTGTGATCTCCTCCCGTTCGCCCACATCCAGTCTCTTCTCAAGGTAACTGGACCTGATAAACTGCAAAGCAAATTGCATCACACCTCTCAGTACAACCTTCTGGCTTCTATTCATCTCGTTCAGGAAAAACTAGAGTCCTACACAGTCAGCCTCACCCTGCTTTGCTCACTCCAGTAAGTTCCTCTCACCATTCTGTTTAAAATTACAGTATTCTTCAACACACACACAAATTCCATATTTCTTCTCATGCTTTACATTTTTTCTCCAAAGCATTTATTGCCTTTGAACATATATAGTTTATTTAGTTTATTATCTGTCTCTCCTCATGTGACAGAGTCAGCTTGCTAATTACCAAATACTCCTGTTTGCTGCTGGGAGCTACATTTGCCGGATGTGCCCTTGCATTTGGCTGGGCCATGTGATTCTTGCCAATGGACATGGAGCAGAAATTGGACTCTGAATGAACACTCAGAAACTGGCTTGGCCAAAACCACCTGCACTGGACTCTAAGTTGAGAAGACAATAGATCTTTTTTTTCTTTTTTATAGACAGTTTCACTCTTTTCGCCTAGGCTGGAGTGCAGTGGTGCAATCTCAGCTCACTGCAACCTCGGCTCCCTGCAACCTCCGCCTCCCGGGTTCAAGTGATTCTCCTGCCTCAGCCTCCCAAGTAGCTGGGACTACAGGCACCCACCACGCCTGACTAATTTTTGTATTATTAGTAGAGACAGGCTTTCACCACATTGGCCAGGCTGGTCTGGAGCTCCTGACCTCAGGTGATCTGCCCGCGTCAGCCTCCAAAAGTGCTGGGATTAGAGGCATGAGCCACCACCCCTGGCAAATAGATCTTTAGGATGTTAATCCACATAGCATCTAGCACCTCAATTACAGTACCTTAGTTACTGTGGCCTACTAGAATGGAAGCTCAGTGAGGGTATGAATGGATGGATGTAGTGCTCATTAATGTCTCCTCTGCTTAGAACAAAGCTTGACATAGTATAAGTACTTAATAAATATTTATTGAATGAGTAAGTGAACAAATGAATGAATGAATTCCCTTTTCTACCATGAATTACAAAAATAAGTGAATGGTTGGAAGGAAGAACACAAAGGAAAAGGATTAAATTGTTTTGGATTTTTTTTTTTTTTTTTTTTTTTTGGTGAAAAGTAGAAACTGGGTTTCTAAGAATCATTGACTGTAAGGCCTTGGTAAAAATAAATAGAATTGCACCTGTAATCCCAGCACTTTGGGAGGCTGAGACTGGCAGATCACTTGAGGTCAGGAGTTCAAGACCAGCCTGGCCATCATGGCTAAACACTGTCTCTACCAAAAATACAAAAATTAGCCAGGTGTGGTGGCAGGCACCTATAACCCCAGCTGCTTGGGAGGCTGAGGCAGGAGAATTGCTTGAACGTGGGAGGTGGAGGTTGCAGTAAGCCAAGACTGTGCCACTGCACTCCAGCCTGATCGGCAGAGTGAGACTCCATCTCAAAAAAAAAAAAAAGTAAATTGAATCCGATTCTTTAAGTTTTGTTCTGCCCCATATTCACCTTTCCTTCTCTTTTTCTTCCTTCCACTTTCTACCACCACCATCTCTATTCCACGCAAGTCCTCCTCACTCCTCCCTTCTTCTTCCCTTTCTCTGATGGGCTGTCTTCTGTTTTTCCTCCCACTTAATCTAACAAGAATTCACTGCTTATTAATTTCAGACACTTTGAATGCTTAGCCAAGATTTCTGCTCCAAGTCATTTAAAATATACTACAGGGAGATAACATGGGTTTAAAAATACAACAAAATGTTGGCTGGGCGCAGTAGCTCACGCCTATAATTCCAGCACTTTGGGAGGCTGAGGCAGGCGGCTCATCTGAGGTCAGGAGTTTGAGACCAGCCTAACCATCATGGGGAAATCCCATCTCTACTAAAAATACAAAATTAGCTGGATGTGATGGCAGGCACCCATAATCCTAGCTACCCAGAGGCTGAAGCAGGAATATCACATGAACCTGGGAGGCAGAGGTTGCAGTGAGTTGAGATCACACCATTGCACTTCAGCCTAGAAAACAAGTGAAACTCTGTCTCAAAATATATCGATATATATAATATATATAATAAATATATATTATATATAAATGTATATATAATAAATAATATATGTAAATATATATACTATATATATATATATATATATATATAAAACAAAATGTTAAGTCCTTGGATTCTAACATTCCTCTTCTACTTTTAATTTTTTTTCCCTTTTTTTTTTTTCTGAGACAGAGTCTTGCTCTGCCACCCAGGCTGGAGTGCAATAGAGCCATCTTGGCTCACTGCAACCTCTGCCTTCCAGGTTCAAGCGATTCTCCTGCCTCAGCCTCCCAAGTAGCTGGGATTACAGGCATCCGCCACCACACCCAGCTAATTTTTTTTTTTTTTTTTTTTTTTTTGTATTTTTAGTAGAGGCGGGGTTTCACCATGTTGGCCAGGCTGGTCTCAAACTCCTGACCACGTGATCCACCCACCTCAGCTTTCCAAAGTGCTGGGATTACAGGTGTGAGCCACCACGCCCGGCCTCCTCTTCTACTTTTAGGCCCACTTCATTTCTACTGGAGGTATAGCAAAGAAGTGATGGCGGACAGGATGATGCAGGCTAACCCCGCCATTGAGGACAGCGAAAACAAAATAGACCACATTTTTGAAGACATCTGCTTGAACACAGCTGGGTAAAAAGAGTGAAAAGCTACCAACAGTAGACAGAAAAGGAAGGTGATTCTAACATTGGGGGTCCTTTTGCCCTAGGGACGTTTGCTTTTAACAGATCAACTGAGCAAGTATCAGCAAACATTTTATGTAAAGGGCCATA